TCAAAGAAAGGTATGTAGGTAAATTTTTTGAATAATTGTCCTGCATTTTCATATTTGTGGTCACCGTACATATACTAGAACGTATCAGAAAAGTAGCATTTACATATGAAAATACATATCGTGCAAGAAAGCTTTCAGGGATGGACGATGTCAAGGAAATATTCCTTGCTTGCAATCAATCATCTAAACACAATCAGACCGCACACACAATCCACAAATTCTTGTACATACTCGCTTGTTTACCAGCTGATTCTGTATCAGGGTTTGCACTCATATCGGTTTTAATGCATATGTATATATCTACATATCGATGGCTGTGTGGAAGATCGGCCTATCTCGGCAGCCAGTTCGAAAACGCCCTACTTCAGAATTTGATTGAAAAACGCTCCATCTCAGAAGTTTGGTATTAAAAAACGCCCTATCTCAGCTTATTTTCAATGTATTTTGAGATAGGGCGTTTTTGAACCTGAAGCCCGTTTATCAATAAAATTTTGAAATAGGGCGTTCTTCAAAAAAAATTCTGAAGTAGGACGTTGTTGAAAATTTTTCTGAGATAAGGCGTTTTCGAACTGGCTGCCGAGATAGGTCGATCTTCCCCACTCAGCCATCGATATGTACCTCCAAACATTTTATGTACGAAAGAGCATTTGTATAAAATGCCAAAATGCCAACATGAGCTTGTTAACACAAAATATTTCGGCCGTCAAAATCAATCAATTGCAAAGCCGAAATTCCACTACCACATTTGGCAAAAGAGCTAGAGATTTTCCATTTTAGATGGCTGTTGATGTTGCTGAGGCTGAGGCGGCTGCATCTGGCTGCAGCATGTTGTGGTAAGTAAAGAGTAGGGCAGCGGGTGGATGGCTGGAGGTGGTGGTAGGACGTTTATTGCGGTTGTTATAACAAATGTAAATTTGCCTGCGGGTAGAATCAGTGAAAGTTTCCGCTGCAACGCGCGCACATATGCGCTCATACATACATATATATGTATGTATGTATGTATGTACATACATATGTATGAACATTTGATATCGAAACAGCCTACAAACGACGCAATATTGAATGTAGCAAGCGATTGCACGATTTTTTGGGAAATTCGAATATTTATTTGTGTAACGATGCGAGTGATGCATCGTAAATTGAATTGAGCGCAAAAAATATAGGCAACAAATCAATCAGCAATCAAAACTAAACCGAATGCGTAACTACATACAACAGGCGGTTGTGGTACATGCGACGAAGAATAAAAAAAAACGCACAAAGATAGTATATGCTGGTATATGTATGTCGATATATATGTAGGTATTTGTGCATGTGACCACCCAGTACGGAAAGAAGATCTGACTTTCTTCCTTGGCACGAACTGTTCACTTTAACACGGCGATGTCCTAGGGAGCAATCAATTATCCGACTCTGCATTTGATTTCAACTAGTTTAAAATGCATTTGGCTTAAAGCACTTCAAAGTCAGTATGTTTCCTTTGCAGATGTCTTTTCAATAAATTTAAAATTACTTGGTATTAAATGCTGAAATAGCTAATTGTCCAAAGTTAGATGATTTTTCAACTAATATTGAATTATCAAAAATGTAAGCATTTGGTTTATCTCAAGGAGGCTGATTCATCAATTTGAAGTTAGTTGCTAAATAATCAGAAATTAATTACTTTTTCTGAGGTAATTGGTTGAGCTATGCCGTACTGGACATGATATATACATACATATGTATGTATATATCTTTATATCCCTTGCCACATTAAAACGTTTTTCACGTCACTGATTTCATGCTAAATAAAAAAAAATAAAATATATGTACGCAAAGACAATAAAAGTAAAAAAAAAAATCAAAATTTTGTAGTGACTGATTCGCTAAGGTTCTTTTTTATACTTTCTTGCTGATACATATGTATGTATGTATGGAAATATTTTGTATAAGTGAATGAAAGGTATGTATGTATGTGGAAATGTGCATCACTTTATGACTACATACACTGTGCAATGACGATTCATCGATACAGACAAACATAACAGCCGGAACAACAAACAGTTGGAGCAGGCGAACATCAATAATACCACTTTCAATAATAAACAATAGTGGCACATGAATAAATATTGTAAAACAAACTGCATCTGGAGGATTTTCTTCAATTGAACGTAGAAGGAGAATGGAGCAATTTTCCACCGGATTACTAAAAAAAAATTCACTATGTTTACTGTAAGACTACCGCCAAAATATTTCGAAAAAATATTAAGATTTACGTAAGCCGTGCCACTTGGAAAAGATCCCCAAAAAGCGTGTTTGTTTTTAAAAATATTTTCTCCAAAATCTAAACTGCGCTGACCAGAAAAAGTCTCAATTCCGGAATTAGTGTCTGACCTGCCTGGGAATCTCTACATTATAAAAAATCCGACTGTAAAGGCCGAAGATATGGCGAAACATGTAAAAAGAGGACGTTCGACCAGAAAAACATTTCGAGATTGCATTGGAATCGAAAGATTTCTTTGGCAAAAGTTTAATGATTTTTGGCGTGATTTAATTTACTGATATTAGGGTGGTACTTTAGGGTGGTAGGAACCGAGATCTGAAGGGTAAGTACCAGAACGGGATACTTGAGGCAAATGAAATTTCGAACAAAAATCTTGTCTTTCCTAGGCAAGAACACCGATATATCATCCTTTAAAATCCGATTATAAATGCCGAAGATATGAAAAAACATGTAAAATTACCAAAAAAGACAGAGAGGTGTCGGCGAATTTTTGTTTTCTGGTACGGCCTAGTGTACATACGCACATATGTATGTTAATTCTTCGACCTTTTTCTAATTCAATGTTAAGACTTATTCCAGATTTTTTATTGAAGGTAATTTCAAACCTCTACTCCCAGTTGCATACAAATTTAAAATTAAATTTCTCCTCCAAGTTGCTGCTTAATTACAAATGCATAGATTTAAATACGAATACATTTCAGCGTTTATGTATGTACAGTGCCTCAAGTGTTCACGTGTTGATTTTTTTTTTTTTAAACATTTACAAAATTTTTCAAGATACATTTTTTTTTTTGTTATTTTTCTATAAAAAATATTGTCCAAGCTTTAGCCAATACCATGTAAATACAATTTTCAAACTTTGTAAAAAAATTTAGAAAATTTAATTAATTTACATCAAAATTTCGAGCTTTTAAATCTTAATCTGTATAGTACAACATTTCTGCGTATGCAGTTTAAAGTCTATACAATTTTGGTGCAACTTTAAAGTGGTTAAAAAATCGCATTTAAAAATTTTTTACTCGCAGATTTTTGCACTTTTTTTCATATCAAAAAATCAAGGGCACTTTTTGTAAATTGTAAAAAACCCGCAGAAGAAGTCACGAAAAAAGTAAAAGACTAAAATGGTATGGGCTATAAAACTGCATACAATTCAGATTATAGAGCTCAAAATATTGATGCTAATTGGTTGAATTTTCATAAATTTTTTGTAATCTTTGAAACTTTGATTTATATATAAAAAAAAAATTATTAACTAAAAAAACATTGCGAAAATTTAAACAAAAAGATTACACGTGGTGAACACTTGCTTGAGTCACTGTACATATGTATGTATGTATAAATGTCTACCACTTAAGTCGACATCTGGGCGTTGAAAAATTAATGCTCAACTGAAACTTGTCAGCACAAAATGAAAGTTCCAACAAATGGAAGAAATGTAAAAGAAAGAAAATATGAACGACAACTTTGTCGTCAATAACTTTTACTATCTATCAACAGCAAATGCCAACGAGGTGAACACTGACAAACAGCGCCGATTTGTTGCGCTGTCCACCACGCAAGTAGGCTGTCAGACAAAACTGAATTTCGTATGCAATGCGAGTGGCGTGCAACATACTCGTTAGTCATTAGTCGTGAGAAATGTTAGCTTTATTTGGGGACCTCATTTGTTACATGGAAATACATACATACACCTATGTTTGTATGTGCATAAATTTGTGTAAGTACACGCAAAAAACGTGCCCGCCCCACGTGTCATCCATACGAATTTGGGTAGTTTTTTTTTTTGTTGATGGCGTATCTGTTTGCGATGGGTGGGTCATTGAAATTTTTTACACTTAATTGTAATTACTATAAATTCGTTTGACTGCATTGAATAACAGAATAACAACACACGAAAACAAGCGGGCGTGGTGAGCTGGTAGAAGGTGGTGGTGCATATGCATTTAATATGTAAAGCTAAATGCACCAACAACAAATTGGAAGGCGAACTGCTTATTTTGAATAAGTTCGCATTTTTATTGACCTTTTTATGCTTTTTGGGTGAAATTTTCTTTGTTCACTTTTGGTTGATGGATAAGCGTAGCAGAAAGCGAGTGCCTGTTGATATTTACATACTTCGCATCGGCGATATTTATTCTTAATTTAGAAAGTACTTACGTATAACATACATATGTACATATACACTCACGACCTAAAGTATTGGCACAGAGAATTTTTCACAATATGTATATGCAACAATTTATTAAAAATTTTTCTGCTCATTTTTAATTATGCAATATGGTTAATACTACAACAAAATACGTAAATTCAATAAATTCAGGGAAATTCAATAAAATTCATACAAATTTTCAACTTTTTAATCAGATTGCCAAATCGCCAAAAATCTACGACGACTTCAGACTTGCACTTTATTATACTAAAATTTAATGGGAGAGAAAACTGCATACTCAAAAATTTCTATTATCTTATTGAAATATTAAATTGTCCTAGGTTTCGCACAAAGTTTAAAAATTATATTTTTAAGTTTTTGTTGTAAAAAAAATTGCAGAAAAAATTAAAATAAATATTGAAGAAACAAATACAATTAAGTTTCCAAAACCGATACATGAAAATATACATAGGAGCATACCGGGTACTTAATAGGGTTTAAATATTATCCTCCTCCTGCAATTCAAATCCGTTCGAGTTGTAGTGACATCTTTTTCGATTTAATTGTAGATAAGCTGTGTATACTTACTTTTAAATGTAATGAATCAACAATGCCTCATTGATATGGACAGGATAATCTGCAAGCAAAATAAAGATTTTTTAGAAATTTTAAAAGTCGTCGCTGTGATAGGCAGATATTTTTGAAAATTAAATAAGTATTCTTAGCATGTATTTGTTTATTAATATTACTGATTATGTTATCCGTATATTTGCTGATATATGTGTTTATCGATATCGCTATCGTTATAAAAACGTCTAGGTCTTTATCATTTTATTATCGGTCGGCCAGTTGCATACCTTCAACTGACCACGAACCTGACGTGATGGAGGCTAACGGACCTCGGATTCACATTCCACGTGTCGAATAACAAAGGGATATATAGGATTGGTTATGTATAAGGGATCTACATTGCATCGAGTTACCAGCACAGCGTTTTATACTTCGATGTTTAAATAATTTTAATAGCATTTCTGGAAATTTGTAAAATTGTCTATAAAAGGGCTTAACACACTTTAGCTTTAAATTCGAGAGAAATGCCATTACTGCAAATTTCGCTTTAAAAGTTTAAACAGCACGAATTAAACATCAAACGAGCAAATGCTGAGTGCATTTGAAAATTACCCACACAATTAACAAGCGCATTTGTTATTGCCTTTGCCACACCTTTCACAAAGTTATAGTGCACTACAGTGCTGCAGTTTTAGGCGGGGTATTAACAGCAAAAATAAAAACTCAAAAAAATAAAAATAAGTTGCGGTCAATTACCAAAACGTGTTTTATGAACAAATCATAGGGTACTCATTACATTCAGAAACAAAAGTAGTGAATGAAGGAAAGCATTTTCTTTTATTTTTTTTTTCGTTTGTTAGTGCAATAAAAATTGTGCCCCACTTCGGCGACCCAGCAAGCGAATCCCACACAAAGCGTCATCAAATACACTGCCAGCCAGCTAACCATTGCCACTGCCAGTGAGACCCCGCCCGATCAACCGAAGCGCACTTGGGCACCACCCCCCACCAGCCGCCACCCATCGATGCTTCATTCATAGCGCTAATGCACATTCAGGCGTAACGAAAGCAAAAATAATAGCAAAATTTTGAGTAAATCGGTTTGGTTATTATATATTTTGTGGCGACGGACGCGACCGTTGCAACTCATTTCGAGAGGAGAGCTATGGCCGATTTTCATTGTCGATCGACCTAACTTGTTTTTGTTGCTTTCACTATCCATTGTGCTGTTCGTGATTTTCAATGATTACACTTTGTGTGTTGTGTTTTGTTGTTTTTTTACATCTTTTTCAATTGCTGCCTTTAATTCAAGTGGTCAAGTGGTTTCAGCGTGTTGCACCTGCGCCGCGATGGCGAGCGTTTGTGATTAATTGTTGCTATTTGAAAGCAAATAATGCCAAAAACTATTGCTTTGGTTGTTGTTTTTTTTTTGTTATTATTTTTGGCTTATTTAATGATTTTGGCGTTATTTATATTGTAGCTGATTGCATAGGCATTGTTGCCTTGATCCATTGGAGTTCGCCTTGATTGCAATTAATTTTTGTAATTATCCAATATGTACTCGGAAGCTTTCAAACCATTATTTGCCTCGCAAAATTCAATTGAGTTTTTACGACTCCCAGCAATTAAGAACTTAAATAATACACAACTTGTTGTTCTACATAGATTTGGACTTAAAATTATTTTTTATACTGTATGAACCTTCATTAAAAATTTATCATTGATATATGAATATTGAATAGTTCCAACTAGACGGAACTTGGCGCAACCTGACGGTTATAAGAAATACCGAGTGTAGCTAAGACGCTCTCCTATGCTCTGGCCTACGTAGAGACCTTCATCTTGCTCTGCTACGAGTACCACCAGTGGATAAGGAATGCATTGAATACTTTCAAGTCTGAAGCATTTGTACCCAATAATTCGTGAAAAATCTGACTGCATCTGCCCTGTGCTTCTCTTAACGAAAAACTTCGGCACAATGTTTTCTTTAAAGAAAAGGAGTGGAATTTTTACGGACAGCGCAAAAATGGATTGTGGTGTAGGGGTGGGGGAATTTTTTGCGTTGACCACCAAATCGAAATAAGTTTAGCCTCGAAGCTAGCAGGGTCCAGCATTGTTGTTTTCTCGTATAGCCAGGCACTTGGCTCTATAAGCATCACCGCCAGCATAATAAAACAAAAAGAGACTTGTAACTCTAGCTGATAGGCATGTCGTTGCACTGACCTGAGTTGTCCTAACGGGTCAGCTCTGTATGTATGTCTCAGTGGCAGAGGAGGTTCTTGAGGGATATATCTCGACTAACTGCCATTTACAGAGGGCACCTGGGAACCCATTCTGCTGCTTCTCGCTGCACTCGCTACTTCAACTAAACAAACAACTCGAATGCCGATTGTAAACACATCAGTGAAGAACAAATTTTTTGCAGAATTCTTCAGTTCCTTGTTTCTAGCCCTTTTTCCTCAAGGTTTTCCTAAATTCCACCGCAAAGGAGATACATTCTGAGTATAATTCCCAATTGATTCTATAAATAAATTTATCGCGTTTAAGACTTAAATTTATTGGCTTTTTTGCTGTTTATTGTATTTTGCTTGGTTTATTAAGCAAACATTTATTTACAGACATGCCTACATCTGTATGTTAGAGCTCCCCACGGGATGGAAATTTGATAGCGTTGTTCAAAAATATATATACAAAGGTATGTGGTCGTTTATTTGTTGCGCTTAAATTATCCTTGAGCGCATTTTCATAGCTCGAGAAGGCTTCACATTTATGTATATGCCATACATGATTAAAGATTAAGCGATAAGTCACATAGCAAAAATAATAACATTAATGCTATAAAACTCCAGGGGAATACCCGCAACAGCCCAGCACACTACGTTCACTTTCACAACAACAACAACAACAACAACAGCATCAGTAGGGACCACAATCACAAATAAATTGACACTTGAGTGACACTCCAGCGCATTCGAGGAGATCGTCGACTCGACTCGAGCCGCAGTTGAACTGCGTTGATTTATTGCAATTTGATGGCCATCAACGGAAGGGGTGGCAATGGCAGCGGCCGCAGCGGCACAGGGCGTAGTTGCTGTTGGGAGTTTGGTGCGTGCAGCAGCGAGAGAAATCAACTTTAAATGCACATACATAAGTGTAAAGGCCTTCAATTGATTGCTATGAAACTTAAATATGTATGTACATATGTATGTATGTATGTATCAGGGTTGCTGCGAATATTCGCATTCGCATTTGCAAACGCGGAGCTTTCGCATTCGCAATAATCAATGCGGAGCTTTTGTTTCTTTCTTTATTATGATCTTTAAAAAAAAACTTCATACCAGACATAAAAGAAGAAAGTGTGCGCTGTAATTTTGACCGAAATTTTCGGGATTTTCCTTTGATGTTACATATGTATATTCGTTTCAATCATTTCAAGTGGTGCTCTTTGGGGAAATTATTTGTATCAAAAATTTTAAAAAACAATAATTTTTTTTTTTTACTTGCCGAGCTATATTTTATTCGTAGGGATATACATTCGATCCTTGCCTATGTCTCCCTTCTTTGCAATTTATAATCAAGTAATAAGCTCCTTCAGAAGGTATTTCCCGCAGAAATGGTCAACGACTGCATTTATTTAAAGATGTCTAAAATTCCACATTCGCAACATCCCTAATACATAATATGAGTGCATATTTTCATGTGGCCAATTTAATGATAACAATAAATAATCTGGGCAATGAATGACGACGACAACGTCAATGATGAGGACAGTTCATTTAAAAAGAAAAAAAAATAGCCAACTTACTTTCACTCAATTGATTTTGCCATGCAGAGGCATACAATGCGAAAGATTTATACATGCGGGGAATGTATGTTTGCATGTAAGTATGCAAGCTTTAGAAAAAAATGCATGTACACTAAATATTTGTGTAGTATGGGCATATGTATGCATGTGAACCGAAATTTATAGAAATAATAAATAGTGAAGAAAAATCAAAGATAATTGGCAGTGCTAAGCTTTTCACTTGCATGGCAATAAAAAGTAAGCGCAACACATACAAATTGCTTTGCTTTGAGGTTTTTGAATCAACAGCAATAAACGGTCGATTGTCCAATTGTCCACTTTTATTGTTTGCCATTCATTTTTTGGAAAAATACACAATTTACTCTTTGCTTCAATGAAAATTTCATTGCAATGCTTATACAATTTTAAGCTGTCTCTCATCGTTTTACAATTGGTTGTCGCCGCTGCCCCAGACTTCGGACTTCCATTCAGTTTATTGCTCTACAAGCAGTTGTCAGTTAAAATTGGCGCAATAGCAAATTATATAGCACTTCAAGCGCTCGACAGTGAATGCGCTCTCGCTTGGTAGCCACGCCACACCACCAACACATGTCAGCTGCAAAGTGGCACGTGCCGGGTTGGAAAAATTTTATATAAATTTACAATGGTGCCCAGTCAATTGAACTTACAAAACTGCTCAATTTTTGGTATAATTATCAAGGGATTAAATTAACCGATACTCGTTCGCTTGAACATTCGTTCAATTACAAAAATCCCGCCTTATTGAACAACCAAACAAATTCAAAGGAAATTCATATGATGCATTGAGGGCCAGAGTAGCCTAACTGTCATTGCAAAAAAAGCTGAGATGCATCTTAAAATGCATTACCAGAATCGAAACGGTAATAGGCCGAGGCACACACTTTTATTTTTTATTTTTTTGTTATATTATATGCAGCACCACGTAGACGCACTGAACTTTTTAGTAAAATACCGCATTTATTTTGAATTGATCATTCTTTCTCATATTTCCATATTTGATCGATCAGCTGATTCAAATAAGCGGAGGTCAATTAAGCGGGTACTACTGTAATTAAGTCCATTCTTGCATGCTTCAGCTTTGCTACCTACAATAATTGTTGCTCTGTTTTGGTGCTAACCTCTGCAGTGATGTCACAAAAAATGTACGATAGCTTTCTTCGCATTTTCTGTATTTCCGAGCATTTCATCTTTCAACTTAATTGCACGCAATTGAATGTTCGTACCTAGTTGTTCCCGATCTTG